TGAATTTTATAATTATAGGGCCTCATTTGACCCTAGCCACTATACAAAGGCCCCTTCAAAATATGACTTAACAATAAATGGCTTAAGTATATCTGAGGCAAGGTACAATTCATCTTAAATGCATTATTATGAAAACTAAATCACATTTTATTTTTATAACGGGTGTAGGGTATTATATGGTCGGCCTCGACCGACTATAATTTCTTACTTGTTTTTGTTTTGTTTTGCTATTGCTAAAGTAGTGGTAAAGTCGGGAAAATTAAATAAACTTAAATTATATAAAATTAATATTTTAAACACTATGATGAAGGGTATATAAGATATACGCTTGTATTTATAAAAAATCTTATTTTGCTTTTAATGCACTCAATAGTTAAAGCACACTTTAGCCTTAAAAACCATTAACAAAATTGTGATATTCATAAACAAATAATAAACGTACATATATTAACTATTGTGCTGATTTATGTTTAAGTTGGCAGCACTGTACAATATGGCTGTCATTTTATGTGTTAGTGTTGCGTACAATTAGGATAAAATATTCGTTGATTCGGTTTTCTTAATTTCATATTTTTGTTTATAATAGATTTTTGACAATAAAAACAAACTTTTAAGAAAAATAAATATATACATATGTATATGGCTTTAATAAATGTCTATTTAGTTCAGATGTATAAATATAACATATAATTTCTAATTATTATTAAAAGTATCCGAATAACGGATATTTTGCGACAAAATATACATCACTATGACACATTTTCTTATTTTTACTTATTTTCCTTGTAATTTTTGATAAATTTTTGCAAATATTGATAAATTTCTTTGATATTTGACTAATTTTAATGCCGGCGAATATATTTTGCATTAGTATAACACTAATCAATATAATTTACATGGTTAATTACTTTATGGCATTATATTTAACCAACAAACTTTGAAAAAGCCAAATCAAATGATTTTGTCCATCATTTGGTTGACAGACGGGCATTTCCAAATTGCCTAAAAATAGTGCTGGACAATTGGAATATTGTCAAATATTCATGCATTAATCCAATAATGCCTAGATTTGAGTTTTTTCCTCAAAATATAATCGTTTAAACATTTTCTGGGATTTTATTTACAAATTTGTAAACGTTAAAATTAGAATTTGTAGATTTTATTTTAAAAGAAACCATAATTAGTTTTCGCAATCAACCTAAAATTACCGGAAAAATCTTTATCTGAGAAAAAAATGTTTAAAAATCAACTTATTGTTGGCTTAAAGAAGGGTCGACCCTACAATAAAATTCTTCTAATTGTCAATGGTTTATTGAAGGTGTTTTAAGCTATTTCACGTTTATAAATACGATTTTCCTCAATTTTGCCTAAAATTGTTTAATAAACCTAAAATAAGTTTTTATAAATACAGCCGTATAATTTTAAGTTTTCTTTATATCAGATCTGTTGTAACTTGTAAATTTTGGTATTGAAAATGAAAAAATTATTTAAAATAAACTTATTTTTTTTCGAAAAAAAATCTTTAGGTGAAAAAGGGCCAATCTTTAGGTGAAAGATAGCGATTAAATTAAAATTAATCCTCGAAAGATGTTTTTGAGTACTCAATTAGTTAATTTTGTTTGCAAGTTTAAGCGCCCAATGGAGGTGGTTTAATACAGCCAAGCGCAGAAAGAGAGACGTGAAGAAACTGTTATTGTAGTGGTGAGAAAATACTAAAAAAACACTTAGAAAAAATATTGCCTAATTACGCTTGTTATGATCAAATTTCATAACAAGGAAAATAGTAAATTTTACAGATAAAACATATTCAAAGAAAAGAAAAATATATATTTCTTCACAAAGATAAAGTTTTTTATTTAAAATGTGCAAAAAAAAGTATTATTAATACTGTTTTTATGTGTTTTCATTCTTATGCATTAGTAAAATTGTTTTGGAGTGTACGAGTTTTTTGCAAGTAATTCTCTTGTTTACAAATTGTGCTGTTGTTTTTACAAATTGTTTTTGCAATTTTTGAAACAAAGCGACATCAACCTACAGTGTTGAATGCTGTTAAGCACAGATGGTAATCAAATGCCAATTAATAATCAGATTAGTTAATCTAAAAATAAATTTAATCTTATGTTAATCCCCTTTGATGTTTTTGAGTACAAGATTAAACTTCGCAGTGTTGCCATACAAAACACCAGAAAACTTCACTGTTTGTTATCAAAACAATGCATATTTTATAAAAAAGAAGAAGACAATTGTAAATTTAATATGAAAATTAATGAAAACTTAAAATAAAAACAAAAAAATTTATTTTGAAGTGTCCATAATTTATACTAATCAATAAATAGAACATTTTAATGTTTATATTTATAAAAATTTTATTAATTTTTTTGCATCAGCTGTTTACACTTTTGCATTTTGTGCTTAAGATTAAACCACCTCCATTGGGCGCTTAAACTTGCAAACAAAATTAACTAATTGAATACTCAAAAACATCTTTCGAGGATTAATTTTAATTTAATCGCTAATCTTTCACCTAAAGATTGGCCCTAAGTAAATTTTTATTGTAGCAGTTTTCTACTAACTTTAATTTTTTCTAGATTATATTAGAGCCATTTGAAGTCGTAGTCTGATTTCAATGAAATTTAGTGCAAGTAGTTCCCAGACTTTGTAGATTATGTCCAAATTTTTTCAATTTATACGGGCCTGTCACAGAATTCAATTCTCATCGAAACTGTCTAATTATATTAATGCAAAGTATTGTAATGTAAAACCCCCTTTTGTAAATAAATTGTTCAAAACTAAAAAACAATAAATTTGAACTATCTATTGAAAATTAAGGATAGATGGTAGATGATATATGTAGAATGGTTGAGAATAGAGAATTTAAATCGTTTTTGTAAAATCTTAAAAATGTTAGTTTAGCTGTTTGCGTTTTAGCTGACGATATGGTGTATATAGTAGAAAAATATGTAATTTCCTTTTATTATCTTTTTATATCATACATAAAAACTTTTCACTCAAAGTAATTGTATGCATTGGTGTTTTAAAATACAGTTAGTTGATAGATAAAACTATAATAAATCATTATTAACTTATTAATTTCCCTCCACAGCAACGTCCATAATGCTCTGCATATAGTAGGGGCCTTCATTAACATAAGTACGCAATTGTATGTTGGTTTGAACATCGAAAGCACTGCTATCGGCTAACAATTTAATGACACTGAATTTTGCATATTTTGCATCTTTGTCAAACTCCACCTTGCGGTCAAGTAAATACTCCAAAAATCCTGCTGTATTTTTAAGTGCCTCAATACCCCATGGGTATAGACAGAGAGCACCGATTAAATTAAGCGTAGATATTTTGATGTCAGGGAAAGGGTTGCGACAAAATTCCATTAAAAATTGCATATTGTTCGAGCCCTCGTTTAGATAATTAAACCAACGTTGTAGTATGCAACTACAAAGATATATAAAATGGTAAAGTTTCAACATAAAAATAATTAAATTTATTTGTTATTTACCTAATTTCCGATGCTACTGCAGATTCAAATGTAAATATATGTTCTAAACTGCTAAATGCACGATTTTTTAAATCTATTGGCAAATTTCGCAAATAAGAAGAATAGTTTTCAAATACATCTTTCATTGCAGTGCCATAATTCTCTTCCAGCAAAAGCACGCCTTGTTGGGTTTGGGTCAAATTTGCTAAAAATTTTATAATAATAATGAATAGCTATTAAAAAAAAAGATTTTAGAATATAGCGCTCTTACCCAATGTGTCAAATGCTGCTGGTAAAATAGAAGTATCACTAGAGTTCAAACATTCAAACAGACAACTTATTATATGTGGATATCCCAGTATAATTTTTTGTGGTTGTACACTGGATATTTTACCATAAAACTTCATAATGCCTGGAATCAACAAACGATCAAGTGGATTTTGTTCGATTTCCTCAATACGTTTGCCAATCACATCAAAAACTTGTCGTTTCTCCAGATAAAGAAGTCCATGATTTTGTGCGGCAAGTAAAACAAGTATTTCCATGACATTAACTTGCAATAATATATCATCGTTGTCCAGTTCAACCAATGCATGATCTAATATATATTCCACTTTTTCCAAAGTGGCAGCTGAACGTTTTCCCAAATTTACAGCCAACTCGTAAACACGGCATTTTATAACTTCAATACCTTTGAGAGCATTCAGTAGTGAGTCTTTGACAAACTGCTCCTCTAAACGAGTTTCCAATACCAAAGTTAAAATTGCTAAAGCCGGACTGCCCAGTTGGGTCTCAGGTTCCTGCAGAGCATTTAAAATATGGCGTAAAAGTTCATCTGAGATGGCATCACTTAAGTTATCGTCTCCAATTTGATTTTGCAATTCCTTTAATATAGTATTTAAAGCTAGAGCTCTAATACGGGGTCGTTTGTGCATTAACGCTCTGTGCAACAAGTGTGGCAAGTCATTCTGTCTTAGAGTTAAACTCGCCATGCATATGGACAATATATCGCTGACCAAATCAAGGGGTTCAGCATTAACGGCTGCATCATTCTCTTGATCGTCTTCCTCTAAGCAATCATAAATTTCCGAGGAGCTCAGCAAACGGTTAGTAACTTTAGTTTCCAAATTTGGAGTTTCATTGAGCCGGCCGCGTATTTCTGTCAATGTAGACAAACGATTTTCTTTTGTCTTAAGATTTTCGAGTTTTTCACAACACCACTCCTCTGTCATGTTCTTTTTTTAAATTTTGTATTCAAATATACAAATAGATTTAGAAAACAAAACAAATCGAAAACAAATATTTGCAAAATCACTGAAACAGAGCCCTTCGTCGACAAATATTAACGGCGTCGTCTGGCACTAAAAATGTCGAAGGCGGCTTAAATTCGACTGTAAGCCGGCTAAGTTTTCAGTTATTTTTAAATTATCAACGATTTTAAATAATTAAAAGCGGAATCCCCGAGAGTAAAGAATGGGATTTTGAAAGCAAATATTTGTTACGTGACCTTTGGCAGCACTAGGTTGAATCCTGGCCGACTAACTTTTCGCATGACACACTCAGAGGTGGTCTCTCCCTTCAACCTAGCCTCAGGGCAGTACCAATTAATGATGAATTCACTAACGTTACAGAAACTAACACGATTACACTACATTGAGACATGACCACAACAGGAGGTAGATGTTTCTCCAGCCGCCCATCCCAACCATGGTTACTATCTCCTCTCATCCTCTAAAGCAACCCCTTAACACCGCTCGCTGTTCACCACTTACCTTCTCTCTTCCTACCCCTTAAACAAATAAACTTAAGCCTTCATACCTTTTTTTTTTTTTTTTTTTTTTTTTAATTCAAATCATTTAACGAACATAATTTCATTTATTTTATCTATTATAGGTTTCCTAAGATGTTTATCTACCTTAAAAATTGGGCTTATAATAATAGAATAAAAGAATTAAACTTCAACAATAAAGAAAAATTACATATATTTATACACAAATCTAACAAAATAACGTATTATTACACTAATTCTTAGCGATATTCACAATAGATGATATCAGGCGTTTCTACATGCCACAGGAAAAGACCCTTTTCCAAAATAAAACGTTTATTTATTTTTTTGCACAATATTGCCAGACCATCGATATGGTTCACTATATCTAATCTTCCTGATCCTGTTCTAAAGAGCTCTTTATTTCGGGAGGGAAAATACAATTAAATAAAAAAAAAACTAAAGTTCGAATATATACTTCGTTTTGTTTTGGGGATGGATATTCCTACAACCTGACGATTTTTTTTTTTTCTTGCGAGGCACGCTAATCACAAACACATATGAATATATCTTATAAATAAATTAAACTTAAAACTAATAAATGATACGGAGTAATCTTAACCCTAAATTCTGATATATATCTTCTGTTCTATAGTTAAATATACTAAAAATCAAGTGCAATAATTGAAATTTCACAATTGAATACGTAGCGTCGAGTATTGAACGGATTGTACTATTTTTCTTTCTGGCTATTATTTTTCTTAATTGAGTATGGTTACCTGTTGTTTTAGGAGAGGATTTAAATTTTTGGAGAACCCTTTTTGAGATTCTTCCCAGGAAGAGTAAGGTTTCCGAAAATAGTTAACTCTGGTCCTGCTCCAGATAGAAACCCGTCTCAAGCTGTTTGGTCGAAAGATTAATATTTATAAACATTTGACCAGTAACGCTAATAAAATAACCTATACACTATGAAACTTACGTTCTCCAAGCTTATAATACTATTTTGCAGGAACACTTCTAGATTTCCTTATCCTTGTCGTTGCAGTAACCTTTAACTTTATTTCTTGTCCAATACTCGAAATTCTCAAACTCTTGCTACCCTATAGACACACAAAACATATATTGTAAGAAAAATCACACAACTTTCTTTTCTATATATTTTTTTTTTTTTTTACAAACTGTTGCTTTACCTTTATTATGTAATTTCCTTTTGTATTATTTTTAATCTTTACTTTTATTTGCCAATGTATATGGTGTATATTTTTTTATTTTTTTTTTTTTATATAAAAAACTAGCGATTTGATTTCACTTATTATTGCGCGCACTTTTTTATGTCTTTATTTCTCAACGTCCAGAAGCTTTGTAATCTTACCAAGTACAAAATTTACATGGCTACGCTTGACCTATATTAACTAGCTATTCCAATAAAGCCATCTTTATTTTTTTTTTCCCTCTAAAATCTGCCTTTTAACAACGATACATATATCCCTTTCTAACAAAATTTTATTTAGTTAAATATATCTATTTCATTTCCATTAGAATTCCCCATTACAACTAAATTTCAATACAAAAAGGACGCATAAATTCATTCATCCGTTTTACTACTACGTACCCTACTGTAGCAATCATTCACAATAGTCTGCAACAAGTAAAACATATACGAACGTTTACCAACACTGGATAACATATGTTTCATTTTTTACAATCAAAACAAAAAAAATTGGTATAGTAAGTATCGTTCCACACTATTTTTTTCCAATTTTAATTATTTTCTTTTCTTTTCAGGTAAAAACAGCGGGGCTTAACTGCGATCCGTATGTCGGGCGGTCGCACGAGCAAGGTTTCCCCCCCTGTTTGCCAATGGTCTACTGCGGATTGGCAATCCCCACTACTATAAGAAAAGTAGACCATTCCGACAAAAAAAAATAATAATGTAAAAATCTTTAAGAGCACGGCCATGTGGTGAGGCGCCGATGTCGCTGGCCAAGCCGGATAGTGCTCGAAACTCGTCCCACTAAGGTCCCCCCACGCAAAATTTTTTTTTTAGACATACACCCTACAGTCGGCACCCCCAGAGTCCCACCGCAACAAAACACCGGGTTTCGAGATGAGGAACATGAGGAGAACGGTGTGCGTGGAAATTAATGGCCTACGTGGGGAACTCCCACGCCCTGGAGTCTCACAGCCGGGCAAAGCAAAATTATGTAAGTATATGAATATGTTCATTCTATGGTTCAGTTCATGATGCATTTTGTTTAAATATTTACAGGTACTTCATATTGCGGATAAGGTTTTCTGTCGAAAGTGTATAATACTGGAGGATTCTCAGATAAGTCGGGATATACATTTTCATTTAAGGATTTTACTTTGTGGTAATTTTTTTGACTTTCAGGTACCTAGACAGTCAAATGGACTAGATCTTATATTGCACTATGGGAAATCTTAAGGTAAGTACATGCAAGTAAAATAAATAGTTTAATATTTGTATAATTACGAACGAAACGTTAAAAAAAAAATCAGGTACTAAGTGTTTATATGTAGAAAATAAAAGAATACACATTTACATGACATTAATGACAACCAAAAACATATAACATAAATTTGTATAAATAGTCATAGAAATGTGTTTCTTAAATTCTAATATTGCACTTAGTAAACTATATCACAGATTAGTTAATTTCGTCATCGTCTTTTATCTTTTTATATCTTTTGCATGGTAAATACCTATAGATTTTCCTTGCATATTTTCAAGCTCGTACATGTTGTTGCCCACGGGTTTGAGTACCCTACACTTAATGAACTTTTTGCAAAATTTTGCATTTCTATTTCTTTCAAAATCGCTCAAAATGTTATTACGTCTAAAGACTTCTTGCCCTGGTAGAAATTTAGCATGTCGTGCGCGTTTATTATACCTTTCAGCACTTTTTTCATATGCCTTGTGCATATTTTTTTTTATTTTTTCTCTTATTAGTTCAAGCCTTTCGTCTACTTTTAAATCTATTATCTGATGGTCTGTTAATGAGTTTAACTTTCTCGCTAGTTTATAATCCGAGCCGCTTGAGAACATATGAAACCCGAAAAGGGCAAAAAATGATGTTACACCTATTGCGGAATGTACTGAGGTTCTCAATGCACACTCTATTTCAGACAAATACATGTCCCAATCACGATGATCCTCTTGTAAGTATGCCCTAATGGCATTTAAAACAGATTGGTTTACTCTTTCAGCAGCGTTTGATTGGGGACTGTAAAAGGCTGTTTTCATGTGACGAATTTTATAAGTTTGAATCATTTCTTGAAACGTTTTCGACACAAATTGTACCCCGTTATCGGAATGTATGATTTCCGGTACTCCAAATTTATGAAAAATTTCGTTTACCAGGAATTTTACGACATTACCCGCGGTAGCTTCTTTCATAGCTTTCAGAAATGTAAATTTTGTCAAATGATCTACTACTATAAAGATGTAACAGTTTCCGGTCTTAGATCTAGGATACTTTCCGAGAAAATCTACATATAATTTCTGAAATGGTCGGTCTGTCAGAACTTCTGCACCGATTGCAGGCATTAGATTTTGATTTACCGCTTTAACTTCTTTGCAAGTTTGACATGAATTTACGTAATCTCTTATCTGCACTGTCATTCTGGGCCAATAAAAGAAGCGTTTGACTCTTTCTAGAGTTTTAGTTATTCCGCCATGAGCTGCTAAGTTATCATTATGAGCTCTGTCAATAATTGTTGAAGTTAAATTAGACGGAACCCATAGCTTCCACTCATACTGTTCACCGAGATTTGGATCTAATATTGTCTTCTTAAAAACTTTACCGTCTACAATTTTCAAATCAGGGAGATGGTTCGAATTTTCTGTTATGTTTTCTATTAAATCTAAGTATTCTTGACTTTCAAACTCGGTCGTTTCAAAATCTAACAATAGTTCACTGTCAATCTCTTCTATAATACCCATATTATCTAGTGGAGATCTGGAAAGCATATCTGCGACAATATTCTCTGAGCCTTTTCGATGATGGATTTCAAAATCATACGCTTGCAGTTGTAGTGACCAACGAGCTAGTCTCCCACTCAAATCTTTAAGCGTCATTAGCCATTTGAGGCTAGCGTGGTCCGTAATCACGGTAAATGGCATCATCTCCACATAAGGCCTAAACTTCTTTATAGCCATGATAGCCGCTAGACACTCCTTTTCAGTCACGCTGTATTTTCGTTGGCAGGAGTTAAACTTCTGGGAGTAGAATGCGATGGGATGTTCTTCATTGTTCGGATTCAACTGATACAACACAGCACCTATCCCGTAATCCGAAGCGTCGCATTGAATGTAAAAACGTCTAGTGAAATCAGGATGTTTTAGTACCGGAGCACTGGTTAAAGCTCTTTTTAATTTATTAAAAGATTCAATTGCCTCAGGAGTTAGTTTAAACTTTTTCGACTTTTTTAAAGTATCTGTTAGCGGTGCAGCGATTGTAGCAAAGTCTTTTATGAATCGACGGTACCAACCGGCAGTGCCGAGGAAACTTCTAACTTCACGGGTCGTTTTAGGAATCTTTATCTCTCTAATAGCAGCAACTTTCTGCGGATCAGTTTTTAGCATCCCTCCTCCGATGATAAATCCTAAGTATTTCAGTTCTTGAAAACAAAATTGTGACTTTTTTAATCCAATCGTTAGGTTAGCTTTCTTTAAGCATTTCGCTACTTCTTCCAATAATCGTAGGTGCTCCTCAAAAGTACTTGAAATTACCAGGAGGTCGTCAAGATACATAAAAACGTTTTGTTTTATTCGTTGTGGCACCACTTTATCCATCAGTCTGCAAAGGCGCTGCGCCGCGTTGCAAAGACCGAATGGCATGACTCTGAATTGGTATAGGGGACGTCCAGGCACTGTAAAGGCGGTATATGGCTTACTTTCCTCATCCAGTTCAATCTGCCAAAAGGCATACTTTAGGTCGACACTGCTAATATAGTAGGTTTCGTCTATTCGGCTTAAGATTCCATCAATGTTTTGCAATGGGTAGGCATCTTTTACGGTAAGGTTGTTTAATTTTCTTGCGTCGAGGCAAAATCGGTTTTTTCCAGGTTTACGAACTACAGTTGTTCGATTGCTCCATGGGCTTTCACTTTCTTCTATCACGTTTAATTCAAGCATTGCATCAATTTCTTTGTAGGTTATTTCCTGCACTGCAGGCGAAATAGGATAATGGCGATCTTTAACAGGGACTGCACCTTCAACTAATTTTATGGTGTGTTTTTCGAGCGGAGTCACCCCCAGTCCGTCTTCCTCAAAGGTTTTGAACATCCCTATTGCCCTATTAAGATCTTCTTGCTGTTCTAAAGTTAACGTATGCGGTTTCATTTTATATTCTAATTCCTTATTTACAATGTCTTGCGGGACTTGCTCAATATTAATTTCATCTGCTCTGATTATTTCGGGTATTAATCCAAATGTCTCCCAGAAATCTATACCTAAATATAATTCTTGTTCCAAATCAGGACAAAGATATAATAACATAACATGTTCTTGATCTTTGTACTTAATGGATAATTTTGCTTTTCCTAGCACTCGGAGTTGTTGACCACTAGCAGTTTTCACACTGGTCAACATTGGATTAACCAGAACACCTAATCTAATTATTAATTCTCTACAATTTTTCCCAATGATACTAACAGATGCTCCTGAATCTAATAATCCTCTCATTTCATAACCATTTACTTCTACATTAACAAAAATTCTAGGATCTATGACATTTTTATTTGACCTATGAATCGTTTCTATTATTTTTCTCCTTAAATTACGACGTTCCTTAAATTCTTTTCTAATTTTTAAAATTCTTTCAGATACCATCTTACTGGAGCCGGATCCGAATATCTTGTCCCTTACCCTATCATAATTAAATTTTCTTGTTTGGAATGGAAGATAATGTCTAATCTGAGGTATATTGTTTTCTAAATTCGTTTTACTAATCTGATTAAACCCATTTTCCTTTCTATTTTCTTTATCTAATCTTTTGATGATGCAGGGTTCGGCTTTTGACGTGAGTCCCCTGTCATTCCCACGCCATTCATCTGGTTTTTCTGTTGGCACACTGGACATTTCGGTGTCGTGACGTTGGGCTTGCCGCATTTGTAACAGAACAACGATCGCTGCTCAGATGGACACTCCATGTAAACGTGACCCGCTATTTTACAATTCCAACATATTAGGGATTGCTTTTGTTGTTGGAAAGCTTGCTGGCCTATACGTAAAGCTTCCACTTCCCTTATTTCTGGTATTTCCGTTTCATCCCTCGTCGTATATTCATCATCGTAAACTTCATTTATTTGCCTCACACGTGCTGGGGGTATTATGTTACGTATTTCTCTCCTTGGAAAATTGCGATCAGCATCGTTACATTCAATTCGTAATTGTTCTACTGAAGAAACAGCTAAAGGATAAACGATTCTTGCTAGATATGGATTTACATTTCGTTTCATGATTTTTATCATGTCATATTCTGGCATGGGTTGAGTAAGTTTTGACCTTAACTTGTTCATTTCATGAAAGAACATATCGATCGTTTCATTATTCTGCTGCTTTCTTTCCACCAAGTCTCTCATCACCTCGAAATTGGATCGCGGAGTCTGATATTGGGATAGTAAAGCGAGACGTAAGACAGGCCAGTCAGTTAAACCGTGAGTCCCTATAAACGACCAATACCAGTCCTTTACTGAGCCGGACACAAGTAGATGAAAATCTCTAACAACTTCCCTATCTGGAATGTTGTAATGGGTTTTCAGATGTTCTAACCGGAAGATAAAATCATCTATACCCATGGTCTTATTATCAAACACTATTCCCAATTTGTCTATTCGAATTTGACGGAAATCAAAGGAAGTATTTCCGTTAGATGATATTCTGTTATCATGTTGTGTGGTAAAATTCATTGGAGGAATTGAATTCTCAGGCACGAATTGGTTTGGAAGAGGTAAATATGCGTTTTCATTTCTTGGATTTGCTCTGTTTTCATTATTTACATTTCCAGGTACGTTGTTTCCGTTTCCTGTATTGTTACCTATTGCAGCTGGTGTACCCGCATTCGTAGTTTTTGCCAAATTATTGACTGCTTTCGCCAGATCTCCTATTGTCTTCCTAACTTCAGTCATCTCGTCTTGAACCATTTTCCTAACTTTGTCCTCCAGGGACCTCTGTACTACAAGTGCTTCATCCGCAACTAGTTCCATAACATCTGGACCTATGTTTCCGTTCGCGGTATTAACTTCATCTGAGGGTGCCCTAAATCCTGAATCAGGGCCATTCCCATGGGCCGTGGTCATTATCGTGGCAGACAAATCAGTGAATTGGGACCCTATGTGGATATTCTCATTGGAATTAGCCATACCTTGTTTTCTCGGTTTATACACCCTTCTTTGTTTTGGATCAGAATGGATTGTTGATCGATTCAAATCAAATTCTGGTAACCTACTTCTCTTCCTATTTCCGTGAACACTTAATAACTTCCTATTTGATTCAATACTAGTGTTTTGTTCTTTGTTTTTAGATTGATTCCTAGTCTGGACGCTCATTACCCTAAAAATCTCAAGGCTATTTCGTTTATTTTGCTTTCCTTTCAAATCAAAAGGAACATAAGTTAAGCAGATTAGAAAAGAGTTAAAATTTTAAACATCGATCAATTCGTTTAAACAATAATACTAAAACTTAATATATCTTAAACGTACACAAAAAAATATAATTTGCAAAGAAACAATTTGGAAATTAAATAAATAAAACGATTTAAATAAATCAGATAAACTAATAAAAAATAAATAAAAATAAATAAATAAATAAATAAATAAATAAATAAATAATTAAATAAGCAAATAAATAAATAAATAAACAAACAAATAAATAAATAAGTCAAAATATGAGCTGCATAAGAATTAATACTGTTAAAAAGATTTTAAATAGATGTTAAATAAACCTTTTTGGTTGTAATAAAAAAAACTTGAACAAAAATAAATAACTAATAACCTTTAACGTTTATCGATTAAGCTCTATATTATAAATTTAAAAAAATTATTATATTATTTTTGATATAGGGGCGGTAAAAGATAGGTGGTGGTGCATGCGGTTATATATATATATATATTTTTTTTTTTATGGCTCTCTCTGTATAGAGAGTTTCTGTATTCATGTCTCGTATTCAAAACTAACAAATAAACAATATTTAAGATCTCCGTTTACCTACTGACATATTCCTACGGATCTGTCATTGACCCTCTTGGTAGCATTTTAATACTTCAGACCTCTAGTTATATTCCAGAGCGGCTATTAAAATGTTTCCCTGGGCTGCAAACAGTATACTTAAGGATTACAAATATATAAAAATGTTCTAAATAAGTGCATTATCAGTTACGATAAGGTATTTTTTTTTTTTTTTTTGAACTCTTATGATCTGTTTCACACTTATTATTTGATACTTTCTTTCAGCTCCGAAAGTGTTTACCTAGATGACCAGTACTACTGACTTCCGAATTTCTAATCCAGAACGGCTACAGATCTTAACAAGTAATCAGATTTGGAACTAAAAGATTGTTTTGGGCTATGGACTTTTACACTAGTGGTCTATTAGATTGTGTGTAGGTTTTCATACACAATATTATATGATAAGTTGGCGTTTTACGCCTTCTTTATCCTATTTGTTTGGGCGCCATATTGTTACGTGACCTTTGGCAGCACTAGGTTGAATCCTGGCCGACTAACTTTTCGCATGACACACTCAGAGGTGGTCTCTCCCTTCAACCTAGCCTCAGGGCAGTACCAATTAATGATGAATTCACTAACGTTACAGAAACTAACACGATTACACTACATTGAGACATGACCACAACAGGAGGTAGATGTTTCTCCAGCCGCCCATCCCAACCATGGTTACTATCTCCTCTCATCCTCTAAAGCAACCCCTTAACACCGCTCGCTGTTCACCACTTACCTTCTCTCTTCCTACCCCTTAAACAAATAAACTTAAGCCTTCATACCTTTTTTTTTTTTTTTTTTTTTTTTTAATTCAAATCATTTAACGAACATAATTTCATTTATTTTATCTATTATAGGTTTCCTAAGATGTTTATCTACCTTAAAAATTGGGCTTATAATAATAGAATAAAAGAATTAAACTTCAACAATAAAGAAAAATTACATATATTTATACACAAATCTAACAAAATAACGTATTATTACACTAATTCTTAGCGATATTCACAATAGATGATATCAGGCGTTTCTACATGCCACAGGAAAAGACCCTTTTCCAAAATAAAACGTTTATTTATTTTTTTGCACAATATTGCCAGACCATCGATATGGTTCACTATATCTAATCTTCCTGATCCTGTTCTAAAGAGCTCTTTATTTCGGGAGGGAAAATACAATTAAATAAAAAAAAAACTAAAGTTCGAATATATACTTCGTTTTGTTTTGGGGATGGATATTCCTACAACCTGACGATTTTTTTTTTTTCTTGCGAGGCACGCTAATCACAAACACATATGAATATATCTTATAAATAAATTAAACTTAAAACTAATAAATGATACGGAGTAATCTTAACCCTAAATTCTGATATATATCTTCTGTTCTATAGTTAAATATACTAAAAATCAAGTGCAATAATTGAAATTTCACAATTGAATACGTAGCGTCGAGTATTGAACGGATTGTACTATTTTTCTTTCTGGCTATTATTTTTCTTAATTGAGTATGGTTACCTGTTGTTTTAGGAGAGGATTTAAATTTTTGGAGAACCCTTTTTGAGATTCTTCCCAGGAAGAGTAAGGTTTCCGAAAATAGTTAACTCTGGTCCTGCTCCAGATAGAAACCCGTCTCAAGCTGTTTGGTCGAAAGATTAATATTTATAAACATTTGACCAGTAACGCTAATAAAATAACCTATACACTATGAAACTTACGTTCTCCAAGCTTATAATACTATTTTGCAGGAACACTTCTAGATTTCCTTATCCTTGTCGTTGCAGTAACCTTTAACTTTATTTCTTGTCCAATACTCGAAATTCTCAAACTCTTGCTACCCTATAGACACACAAAACATATATTGTAAGAAAAATCACACAACTTTCTTTTCTATATATTTTTTTTTTTTTTTTACAAACTGTTGCTTTACCTTTATTATGTAATTTCCTTTTGTATTATTTTTAATCTTTACTTTTATTTGCCAATGTATATGGTGTATATTTTTTTATTTTTTTTTTTTTTATATAAAAAACTAGCGATTTGATTTCACTTATTATTGCGCGCACTTTTTTATGTCTTTATTTCTCAACGTCCAGAAGCTTTGTAATCTTACCAAGTACAAAATTTACATGGCTACGCTTGACCTATATTAACTAGCTATTCCAATAAAGCCATCTTTATTTTTTTTTTCCCTCTAAAATCTGCCTTTTAACAACGATACATATATCCCTTTCTAACAAAATTTTATTTAGTTAAATATATCTATTTCATTTCCATTAGAATTCCCCATTACAACTAAATTTCAATACAAAAAGGACGCATAAATTCATTCATCCGTTTTACTACTACGTACCCTACTGTAGCAATCATTCACAATAGTCTGCAACAAGTAAAACATATACGAACGTTTACCAACACTGGATAACATATGTTTCATTTTTTACAATCAAAACAAAAAAAATTGGTATAGTAAGTATCGTTCCACACTATTTTTTTCCAATTTTAATTATTTTCTTTTCTTTTCAGGTAAAAACAGCGGGGCTTAACTGCGATCCGTATGTCGGGCGGTCGCACGAGCAAGGTTTCCCCCCCTGTTTGCCAATGGTCTACTGCGGATTGGCAATCCCCACTACTATAAGAAAAGTAGACCATTCCGACAAAAAAAAATAATAATGTAAAAATCTTTAAGAGCACGGCCATGTGGTGAGGCGCCGATGTCGCTGGCCAAGCCGGATAGTGCTCGAAACTCGTCCCACTAAGGTCCCCCCACGCAAAATTTTTTTTTTAGACATACACCCTACAGTCGGCACCCCCAGAGTCCCACCGCAACATATTTTAAACTCGGGATTGTCTACCAGAGTAGAAAATTTTTGTATTCGTAAAAATATTTTATTTATTTCTCTCGATATGCAACTAATTTTCACGAGATTTATTTTTAAACTCACGAGAACTATTTTTTTTTCAACTCTTCCACCCCACAACGATTACTATTTAAAGGTGTTCCTTAAGCTTATCATTATTGTCATTCTCGAGATCGTGGTTCCGTTAAATTGGTATCAGAGTACATAAAACAAATTTTTCAGGAGAAGCAAAAAACCTTTTAAAATTATAAATAAACCAAAGATTTTGTTGCTCAAATAGTCCGAAACTTGGCAAGAATAAGTCTTCTTTGTTTTCATAAGGATTTTCGAAAATTGGAATTTTTCTTTGAAAAAAATCTAAATCTGTTAAAATAAGCTCTAAATTACAAGGATTGGTTAGGTTAGGTATGCAGGTCGTCCTCGCGATGTCTTCACTGGGGACACACTTGGGTCCAGTATATTGAATTTTATGATTTTACTGTAGCTTAGGGCTTTTTGGATTACATATGACGATATGTATGTAAGTTTTCTAAATAAAATAGGTACAATAATAATAATTCCCCAACAGTTTCTCAAATTGGTCCTTAATCTTTATAATTTCGAATAAAAATTTTTGTTCAAACTTATAAAGAGCTAACTTTGAAAAAATAACTAATTTTACATAAAGCGTATATGTTCTCTAAAGCTTCCTCAGAACCAGTTCCATAGGTGACAATTTCTAATAAAAATCATTGGTCTCAACGCCAAACTATGTAGAACAAGTTCAGGCTAAAAAAGCGTTCTAGAACTAGTGGTGAAACTAATTAAATTTTTCCTGGGATATTATTATGTATTATTAGTATACTAAAACTCAAATAAAGCAACTGTAATGGGCGTCGCAACAGTATTACATACGACAACATTACAACTGGAACTATTTGTTTCTTTTCCGTACACTATCCTAGGTGAACCAAAAATCAAAGAACTCATACAGTCTAAATCAAATGGTTAATCTTAAAATCCAATACTCATATAAGAGCCGTCCAACAGAACAACAATTCGATTTGAGATTTATATACGTAATGCATACTAAGATCATATTTGCTCTGTATGTATTAAAATTGTGATGATTCAATTGAATACGCATATTTCAGACCTGTTCCAACAGGCCATTCGAAATGAAATGATATTCATTCAAATCCAAAAACACATTTCTAAAGTTATTTTGCCATTCTTGACGATACAGACGCAGGTACATCAAGTGATCGGAAGGAATACCTTCAGATAAACGTTGTTTTTTCTTTTATAAATGATTAATATAGTGTGATAATTCTAAGGGATCTAAATACGACATAAAACCCACAATGCGTAGTACCGGATTTCATGTCAAGTGATCCAACTCAAAAAATCTATTTTGATGAAATTTGCACCAAGGTTAGTACTATTGAATAGTAGGCCAACACAAGTTTTTAGCTCTATCGGTCCATAACATGCGGACTTAGAGGGGGTCAGAATTGGACATTTTGGTCATACAGGGTTTTATTCGAATGAATGTTACTTTTCACCTACTGGTCCTAGCAAAAATTGTCCAAAGGAGTTCAGATAGCTATTTCTTCATTGTTTCCAAAAAAAAGACTTTTTTATTTATTTTTACTTGCGGTAAACAAAGTAGGTCAGTTATTTGTAATATTTGTATTATTTGCAACGACCTTTACAACACAAAATTTCTGAAAAAAAAAATGAATATTGTACAAGCATGCATGGTGTCATATATGGTTCGAGCATGAAAGCACAATCAAATTATTGTGCCAGCATGCTGGTGTTGTGTTATGGGCCCTTTTAAATTATTAATTTAATTAATTTATTCAAAATATGGTGAAAATTTCAAGTCATCTTAAGCTGATGAATTACCGCGGTGGCGGCTTTAACATTTTGTTCGACGGCTTTAGGCCGAATCGGCGCAGGCCTCTGTACTGAAACGCTAAATAAACAACATTTAAACAGAGTTGCCAAGCTAAAGGGAAAAAACTTTGTATCACTACTTTGTAAAAAACTGTTGGCAACAATTATTTTACAATATTGCCAGTATCAAAAAGTGTATTCATGCAAAATTTTCCGTTATAAATTTTGTTTTTATCGTTTAAGTTAAAATATGTAATAGGAATATTATTTCTGCACTTTTTTGCATTCTAAGCGTCTGTCAAAAAAGTAGAATCAATGTATTTGTATGCTGCAAGTTCCAATAACAAAAGTTTTAGCACGAAAGCTAAAACAACTTTTGTAATAGAAGAACAAATTTATTGCGGCAACAATCATATTCGTATTGCGGAAGATACCTCCTTCGGGAGAGCTTGTGCGGCCAGGGCGATACCTCCAAGCAATACTTCTAGAAGATAAAAAAGAGACATTGCCAGTTAAACAGCATGGTGATAATAAGAAGATATCTAAAGATAATCGTCTGGAATATATATAGGAGATATGACCCTATTGTCTATATTATATATATTATATATAGTTTAATCTATATTTTGTGTTTTTCAGTAATCAGTTACGTTACTTATTATCTTAGTTTAACTCAGTGTTATTGGCCAATTAAATCTAAGTTATAAATGAGAAAACACAATCAACAAAAACAATAAAATAATAAATTCGGAAGAAGAGAAAAACTTAATGTTAATAGTATTTTTTACTTGTTTTATCAATATTATTATTGTTTTAAATGTTCATTTTAATTTTTTCTAAAATGTTTTATTTTACAAAAGTAATATTTTCAAAAAAAAAAAGCTGATCATACTGATAAAGTCAACAGCTCTTAAATCCATAACTGAAAAACACAATCATCGGTTAAAGTCCGCTTAAATTTGTTCCGAGCTTAATCTAACAGCAAGTTAAGCCTAGTTTGACTGTAAGAAACCCGCCCTAGTAAGAAACCCGCCCTTACTTGTTAGTTATCTATATACATCTACATCTATTCTAACGTTACTGACTGACTGATTCATCATCGCACAGCCTAAATGGTTGAAGCTAAAGAGCTGAAATTTGGACAGGAGGTTAGTCTCTTACCAAATAGATGCACTAAGTGGGGATTTTTAGAAATTCTAATGTTTAGGGGGTAAAAAGGGCAAAATGGGTAAATTCGGTAAACTCATATCTCCTTAACTAGAAAATATACAAAAACAATAAATCGTATCGTCGTTCATTAAAAAAGTAAGGCTCTTTTTTCAAATTCGACCACTTTAGGTAATAAACGGGCAAAAGCTGTATTTTGGTACTTTTTTCGAAACATGAATATAATAATAAAGAGACTTTTGTTAGGTACATTTTTGTTCTTCACTGGTACTTTTTTACTTTGAGTTTTCTTTAAAATTAAATCTAGAAACATGAAATTAAGCATATAGGGCCCGGAGTAAATGAGAACTTATAAAATGGGATTTTTTGGTACTTTTTCGTTCTTCAAAAGGTACTTTTTGAATTATCTATGATATTGAACCTAGAAATATGAAATTAAGCACGTGGAGCCCGGATTAAGTAAGAACATATCGATACCCTATATTCAAAAAGTGCTAAATCAACAAAGTCTAGTTTTCAGGAAAGCAGAAAACTATTTAATTCGTGAAATATTACTAATTCTTACCTATGAAAAAATTTTAATATTTTGCACATTTTAGAGACTTATTTAAGATAGCACTTTTTGGTCGACAAAAAAAAAAAAAAAAAAACAAATATTTGTTCTAAGTTAGCATGTTTTGTTCAAAGAATAGAACAAAAATTTCTTCTAATAATATGCGTTATTTTATAATTTTATGAAATGTTATTTTAAAGGGATATAAGTCAAACCAGTAAGTCCAATAAGATGCATTTACACCATTTAAGTAGAAAAACTCATGGCATATCTGCTTGTTTACTATTCCTTATTCTCAGTACAAATATTTTAAATTATGAAAAGTTTTTGAATATAGAAAGTACCAATATTTTTTGATTATAATACTCCATAATTGGCACATTTAAAGACTTTTTTATAATCAAAATTCTAAATTGGAACCATAGAATATTATAGATCTTAGTGTTATAAACGATTTCTCAAATAACTTTACATTTTTCGGGAAAACATTATTTAAAGTCTAAAACTGGCTTTATATACAAATATATAAATGATCATATCTTAAAAATTATACATTCAATTTATTAATCTTCACCTGTTTTGTGTTCAGCATGTTCATCTTGTTAATATACAAAATAAATTTTAAATAAATTTTTTTTTTTTTTTTTTTTTTTTCATTTTAGTTATTATTTATTGAATCTTTCTTACATAGAAATTTACAATAAGTATTGAAATCTTAACCTAAACTATAACTAACGTCGTTATTGCCACTGCAATTTCAACAAAAGTTCTCGATAATTTGATTATCTGGCAAAATCCAATGTTTCCGTTCTTCTCAGTCGTCTGTGACCCTCAAATGACAGCAACTCCCTGGCAAGGGGATTTGGGTGATCCATTAGTTTCGACAGGTAGGTTAAACAAGAGAGTTTGATCTCCTCGCGTATTATGGGGACATTGAGATCCCTATGAATATTACTATTGCGAATGTACCACGGGGCACCTGTTATTGACCTTAACAGTGCTGACTGCTTTCTTTGTAATTTTTCAACATTTGATGAGGAGGCTGTTCCCCACAGTTGAATGCCGTATAG